GTGATGGGTGATATATAATGATAGTTGATGCGGTGATTGGTGATTATTGTGATAATACTAGTTGATGGTGACGGTTGCAAATGATAGCTAGGGGTAGTAACAACTAATATTTGTGCGTGACAACAGTAGTGTTGTGGCTGAGGAAGGTAGTAATGGCTGGTGGATAGTGGGTGGTGGCAGCGTATAATCATGTGGGACAACGATAATAGTGGTGATGGTGATTAGTGGTGAAAGTTTAGGAGTAATAGTGAAAAATCATTTTTACATAAATTCTCGAATGTAAAACATCTTAATAGTATTAAGATTCTGGTATAGATCTTATTCATCGAGTCTATTCAGACCTATAAAATTGAAAAAACAAATAGACTTAAATAGTTAAGATTCAGAATTTAAATACAAACACACTTAATGAATGAGATCTGAATAATTAAGATTCATACCTCGATTAAGTACAAACAAATGAGGCCTGAAGGTACACACTTTTGATAAAACATAACTAAAGATGCTCATGTAGACACATAAATAGTTTATTTTAGACCTGCCCAACATACAAGAGATTATTATTGTCGTGTAATTTGATAGTTGCTACTTAGATAATCGCGTTTCATAACTAGTCCCATAGCCTGTTTGGCCAAGCTTCTAAAGAAAGGGGCAGCCCAACGTACAAAGTATTCCTCATTCATGGGGAAGGGTCGCACCTTAAAGGGTGAAATATAAATAACTTATCCTAATTCAAGCATTAGTAGTTGTTTGTACGACTCGAACTCGTGACCTAGGTCTGCTCTAAGGTTCCCTGAACCTTCTAAAATCAGCTTATTTTGAAAAGTGATTTTCAAAAAAGTACTTTTGGTAAAAAGCAGTTTGTCGTTGACTAATTAATTTGAAAGCACCTGTCACGACCCATTTTTCATAATAGGTCATGATGGCGCCTAACACCATGGTCAGGCCAGCCGAATGCGGAAGTGTGATTAAGTTCTCATTTTACTTTAGTCAAAGACAGTGATACTAGAATTTTTAAATTTAAAGATAAAACTAGTAAAGATCATAAAGTGCTAAAATAGCGATACAACCCCCAAAATGAATGCCTACTACAGTGTGTGCCAGGACCTGGTGTCACAAGCTACGGGCGACCCATAGAATATACACAAAAAGAATGAAACACTATCCTACTATCTGAATCAGGATAGACAGAAATCAAAAATACAAGAAAGGACTCCTTCGGCTGCGGATCGGCATGAGAGAGAAGGCAGCTCACCGTAGAAGTCCCTAAGCGTGCTCACTGATGCGCACCAGGATGATGTCCAGATCCACCTGCCTCAAATCCTGTACAATTAAGTACAGAAGTGTAGCATGAGTACATAAACCACATGTACTCAGTAAGTATCCCGTCTAATCTCGAAGAAGTAGAGACGAGAGGTCGACTTGATACTTACTAAGGTCGAGATATAATAAAGTGAGATATACAGCATGAAGGATCTCCAATAACACACGCTTGATAGAAGAGTCATATTCATGTTCTTGTCCTAATTAAATTACCAGTTTTCCCTTTTTCATATCAAATGAGTGATCATGTCATAACTAAATGTAAGCATATAAATCATGCACAAACATGCCGAGGTCGACGGCCCGCTCCAATAGAAAATAAATTGTGCACTGCCAAGGGTCGAGCGGCACGAACCATAGATGCATCTATTATCACCGAGGCGATCAGCCCGATCCATAATCATCAAGAAAATATCAAGAAAAGCACATAAGGCTCAATTACATACAAGGGAATTCCTACCAAGGCTCAACAAACTCATACGTTCACCTTTCATTTCCTCAAGTCTCTAGCAAATCAAAATGATCATATTGGCAATTTAAAATAAGAGATATTCCCCAATTAGACATGACGTGGGTCCTAAACTACCGGAACAATTATCATATAGTAGCTACGCGCAGACTCTCTTCACCTAGTACGTACGTAGCCCCCGCACTTAGCAACAATTACTCATTTAAAATTCTATGGGGACAATTCCCTCTTACAAGGTTAGAAAGGAGACTCACCTCGCTCCAAAGTGCACTCCCTATGTCCAAGAACGAGCCCAAGTCCTTAATTCGAAGCCGGACAATCCCAAACTAATCAAACGAAGTAAGAACTAGTAAATAAAGGCTTACAAGGTTGAATTCTAGCTATTTAAGCAATTTCCTCACCATTAACACAAGTTTCCTAAATTCCGACCCGGGCCCACGTGCCCGGATTTCGAGATTTTTGAAGGAAGTTGTTCTCTATCACCTAAGGATCATAAATATATGATTTCTAGTTCACTACATGGCAAATTATGTGATAAAACCTTAGTTTTCATTAAACCCTAGGTCTAGCTCAAATCCCTTGATTTTACCTAATTTTTTTGTGTTAAATTTACCTAATGTTTATGTATTGAACTAAAAATGAGTGGGGATTACTTACCTTGCAATGTTATGTTGAAACCTCCTCTTTGGAATCACCAAAATCGCCTAAGTGTTGAGAGTAATGTGGAAGAAATGAGTTTGGGTTCGTATTAATGAACCCTTCTGCCCCCAGTGATTTCCGCTTCTGCGGAAGGTATCCCGCTTCTGCGGGATCCGCTTCTGCAGACATGAGCCGCTTTTGCGGAAATGGGCAAGGGGGCCTGGGCCTCTTCTGCGGTCATAACCTCGCTTCTGCGAGGCCGCTTAAGCGAAAAGCCCACCGCTTCTGCGGTTCTGGGCCTGGGCGGATGGACCGCTTCTGCGGTCAGGTGTCGGCTCCTGCGGTTTCCCCTGGGCCTGGCCCCTTCCGCTTCTGCGATAAAACGACCGCTTCTGCGGTCTCTCTTCTGCGGTCCAAGAGCCGCAGAAGCGGTTATGACAGAAGCAGCAGATAAGGTTTTTCCTAAGTTTTCAACTTCACTCGAACCTCGACCATTTGACGCTCGGGGCTCCCGAGCCCCGCCCGAACATACCGACAAGTCTGAAATCACGAGGCGGACCTGCTCGAGCCCTCGAAACGCTTAAAACAACGCTAAATCAGGGAATCAACCCCAAAACCAAATGATTCAAATCATTGAACCTTCAAGTTCTAAATTTCCTCCTAACGGGTCAAAATGCCCTTAAACCACTCGGATTGACACCAAATTTTACAGGTAAGTCTTAACTGATATTTCGGACTTGTACCAAGTTTCGGAATCGAAATTCGAACCTGATACCTAGGAAAACAATAATTTCTTAGTTTATTTAAATCTTAGAAACTTAAACTTAACAATTTCATATAAAAATTCATTACTCGGGCTAGGGACCTTGGAATTCGATTCCGAGCATACGCCCAGGTCCCATATTTCCCCACGGACCCTCAAAAATTGTCAAATCATGATTCCGGGTCCGTTTCCCCAAAATGTTGACCGAAGTCAAACTTGACATTTTTAAAGAGACTTAAAGAAGCAACTAGGCTTATTCTTGCTCAAAACTCTTCTAACTTCCGAACCACCCGTCCCCGCAAGTCATAAATTAGCTAAAGAAAGTGCGGAAAGTATTATTTAAGGGAACGGGGTTCGAAAATGCAAAACGACCAGTCGGGTCGTTACATCACCTTTGAGCCAGGGGCGGACCTACGCTTGGGGGTGGGGGGCACGGGCACCCGTTGGCCTCGGTAAAAATATTGTATATATATTCTATATATATAAGTTAATACAGGAAGGACCTCTATAAATATATTATGGGGCACCCTCAGTCACAAAGACCGGATAGAAGAGTTGGTTTGTGGGAGTAGTTGGCTTCTTTAAGACTCAGGTTCGAATCTTAGGTCCAACAATCAAAATAATTTTTTTGATTGGGTCTCATTTGGTCAGGCCTTTAATTTAACGCATACTAGTACCCTTTTTGCACACGCCTACTAGTACCCTTTTCTCTCTCTTTGACATAAGGTTCTTCTAAACCCAAAATAAATTTCAACGCCTACTCCCTTTTCTCTCTCTTTGACATCAGTTCTTTCTTCTAAACCCAATTCCCAAACCAAAGCAAATTTCATCCTTCACCTGTTCACCATCACGACATCACACGTTTCTTTCTTCAGGGATTAAGGCATGAAGCAGCTGCCGAATCTTTTTCTGGGTAAGATTTTAAAAATTATACTTGGAATTCTCCATCTTGTTTTCACTTTTCTAATGGTAAATTTCAGTTTCTAAGTTAGGGTTTAAAAAAATCCCTTTTAAAATACGATTGAGAAGGGGCTTAACTAGAAGGTTTTGCTTGCCTCTTATTTGTGTCTTGTTCTCACTTTTGGCTATTCTATTTTGATTGAATCTCTGAATTTTCAGTAATTTTTCTTGATTTTATTGAGGCTAGTAAAGCCTTTGATTTAGGCCCCAAAAATTTTAAGGCCCCAAAAGGCGTACTTCTTTTAGTTTGTGAATTTATTGTTTGTTCGACTCTCAAAAAATTAGAAACGGTGAGCTCTTTGATATAACTGCTTAAAATGCTATCTCTTTCAAAGTTGACATAGATTTTTGTAATCTTATACTACTTCACTTGTTAAATGTTAAGTTATTCGATTGAACTCATTAACCTTTGTCACTGAGCACTGGACACTTTTTGAGTTGCTGATTAATAGTTAACAAAACCCCTTTATTGGTACAAACGGTAACCAATGTTCACTTATTAGTTTGCTCTTTCTTTTTACTCCTCAGAAAGTTTGGTTGATTAATCATATTAAAAATATTATTTTGCTTGGCATTGTTGCTTTGTAGGAAGTTCTCTTGATGTGAATTGAGATGGACAAATTTTTGACGAGGTTTAATTCTCCTCAACCAAGTTCTAGTTTTAGAGATAATTCCTCCCATCTTGTCGAAGAGTTTGATGTGAAATCACTTAATACCGACCCCGGAGAGAGAATACCCATTGATAGATATAGCCCTAGAACACGGGATGAAGTGAGAAGACACTACATCCAAAGAGGGCCCTGCCAACCAGATCACAAATTTCCTAAAACTTTATTTGGGAAGAAAATGCGCCAATTTAGTTCGGGTTGGTTAAAAGGTTCGCATTCTAGATGGTTAGAGTATAGTGTGAAGAAAGATGCCGCATTTTATTTATGTTGTTATTTATTCAAAAATGATTACGTTAATGGAAGCACGGGTGACTCTTTCACAAAAATCGGCTTTAAGGGTTGGAATAAAGCAACCGAAAGATTTGATCTACATGTTGCTGAAGTAAGTAATCTCCACCATAAGTGCTTCAACAATATGTTAGCCTTGTCAAATCAATCTCAATCAATTCAAGCTGCTTTTGAAAAGCAATCCGATCAACAAAAAACTGAGCATCGAATTCGTTTAAATGCCTCAATTGATATTGCAAGGTTTCTCTTGGACTTTGGATTGCCTTTTCGTGGTCACGATGAAAGTGAATCTTCAAAAAATAAAGGCCTTTTTCTAGGGCTTTTGGAATGGCTTGGAAATAGGCTTCCAGATGTAGATAGAGTTATATTAAAACATGCTCCAAAAAATGATATGATGACTTCGCCAAAAATTCAAAAGGATATTGTGAGTGCTTGTGCACAAGAGACCGTGAAAGCTATAATTGATGACTTGGATGGAGATTATTTTGGGATATTAGTTGATGAGTCCAAGGATATTTCACACCATGAACAAATGGCCCTTGCTTTGCGGTATGTTGACAAAAAAGGCCAAGTGAACGAGCCATTTATTAGTCTTGTTCGTGTTAGTGATACATCTGCAAAGTCGTTAAAAGAAGCAGTACTTTCTTTGCTAATGAAACACTCATTAAGTCCATCCAAAATACGTGGACAAGGCTATGATGGGGCTAGTAATATGCAGGAAAGATGAATGGCCTTAAAGCTTTAATTTTGCAAGAAACTCCATGGGCATATTCTATTCATTGTTTTGCACATCAATTACAATTGACGCTTGTAGCTGTTGCTAAAAAACACAAGGAGGTTGAGACTTTCTTTGCTATTGTTACTAACGTGTTGAATATAATTGGAGCTTCTTTTAAGCGTAGAGATCAACTTCGGGATCATCAAGCAGAATTGTTGGAGCAATTGTTAGAGAGTGGTGAAGTTCAAAGTGGGAAAGGATTAAATCAAGAGCGGGGGCTTCAAAGGCCAGGTGACACTCGTTGGGGATCACATTGTAAAACATTGGATAACTTTGTTATTTTATTTTCTTCTATTGTTCATGTGCTTGGGGTGATTGAATGTGAAGGTGATGTTAATGATAGGTTGCAAGCAGAAGTTTTTTCTAGTAAAATTAAAGCATTTGAATTTGTTTTCTTGCTTCACTTAATGTTGAAAGTATTGATAATGTCAAACGAGTTGAGCAAAGCATTACAGAAGAAAGATCAAGATATTGTCAATGCCATGGTATTTCTTGATATCACAAAGGAAAGATTGCAAGGAATGAGAGATAAAGGATGGGAACCATTGATGGATGAAGTATATTTATTTTGTGCAAAACATGATATTTTGGTGCCCAAGATGGAAGAATTCTATATTCCTGGAGAGTCGAAGCGTAGGCCTTCTAGTGTTACTTATTCACATCACTTACGTGTTGAGCTTTTTTACGCCGTGATTGATTTGCAACTTCTGGAGCTTAATAGTCGTTTTGATGTTGTGAGTAGTAACTTGCTTCTTGGTATGGCTAGCTTGAATCCGACTAACTCATTTGCTAATTTTGATAAGGAAAGAATAATGACGTTGGCCAAGCATTATCCCGATGAGTTTGGTGAATTGAAGCTTCGAGATCTTAGTCGCCAACTTGACACTTTCATATGGCATATGCAATATGGTGACCCTAGGTTCTCTGATTTGAAAGGAATTGGTGATTTGGCGAAAGCATTGGTTGAAACAAATCTTGTGGAGACTTATTCACTTGTTTATTTGCTTGTGAAGTTGACTTTAATTTTACCTGTCGCAACTGCAACGGTGGAAAGAGCATTCTCATCTATGAGTACATCAAAGATGAATTGTGTAGTAGTATTGGTGATGCATTTCTAAATGATTGTTTAGTTTGTTACTTTGAGAAGGAAGTGTTTGTAAATATAAGCAATGATGCTATTATTGACCGTTTTCAAAATATGAAAACGCGTCGAGTTCAACTATGAGTGGACAATATACTTTTGTTATATTAGTATCAAGTTAATGGTATTTGATAATGTTGTTGTTTTTATTTTGATGATAAATCATCATAGTCATTTCAAAGAGTTACACCCGAACTTTATTGTTGGTGATTGGCATACTAAAAATAATGGTGCCCCCGTAACGCTTAATTCCTGGGTCCGCCTCTGCTTTGAGCAGCAATAAGTGTTTAACTAATCTTTTAAAAAGTGCTTTAACGTGCATTTTGAGCCTGTTTGGCCAAGTTTCTAGGAGGCCAAAAGTACTTTTTTTTTTATCACGAAAAGCACTTTTTTTAAAAATAGAAATTTGATGTGTTTGGCCAAGATGGAAAAATGCTTTTGAGCATTTCTCTGCTTTTGAAAAGAAGCTACAAAGTTTAGCTTCTTCCAAAAAGTAGAAGCAGAAGCAGAAAATTAAATGTTTTAAGAAAAAAGTATCCTTGCTATAAATTTATAGTACTATTTTTCAAATTATCCTCAACAATTTTATTTTTTTCCTTTTCCTTTTTGTTTCTACCATCACTTTCTTTTTATTTATTTTATTTCTATTGTATTTTTATTTTTCTTCTCCTTTCTTCTTTAAAATAGTTTCTCAACTATACATAGTTCTCTTTTTCTATATAGAATTAACGAAGTAGATTTTTAATTTTTTATTGAATAATTATATTTTGATATATTTAAATTACCATGTAAAAAATAAGTAATACCAAATGCCTACTATTATTGCTTTGGATGAAAATTATATTGATTAAATTCTTTAATATATATTTTTTACTTTATATTTTATTTTCTAATTAAATAAGAAAAAATATTTTTATAATAAATATTTAAATTCATTTCTCTCTTTTAAATAATATACTATTTGTAATTGAATATGTATTTTTTTTCTCGTAATCTGACACTTAAAAGTACTTTTTGAAAAGATTATCCAAACACAATATGCTTATTAAAGTAGTTCTCAAATGAACTAGCCAAACACAACTGTAATTTTTCAAAAGTACTTTTTTAAAAAGCATTTTTGAGCAAAAGCACTTATCGAAATAAGTAATTTTTGGCAGCTTGGCCAAATGGTTTCTTTATCTCAAAAATCTTTCTTTTTTTAAAAAGAAACTATTTTTTCCGTTTTTCAAAAACTGCTTCTACTTCTAGTTAAAAGAATGTTTTCCCGTCTAAAACTTAGCCAAACATTTAATTTTATAAAAAAAAATATTTTTGGCCATTAAAATAAAGCTTTACCAAACAGGCTATCAAACTCCTTTGTCAGCCTGCTTTAGAAAATTAATTCAATTTGCAAGTTTGCGCTAAAATAATGAATGCGATGCTTAAATTTGCTACAAGTGCCTCACTAGTAACTCTTACAAAATTCAATTTATTAATCTGATACAAAAGCAAATATTTTCGAAATTTAACACCCCAACCCCTCCATTATCGAAGGAAAACAAAAAAAGTTAAAAGAAATATTTGTAAGAGCCCGTTTGGCTTAGCTGATTTAGAGTAACTGATAAGCATTAGGTACTGAAAAGCACTTTTAAGTGTTGAAGTTGATTTAAGAAATAAGCAGTTACGTGTTTGGATAAAAATGCTGAAATTAATAATAAGCAGCTGAAGAACTAGGTATACGAAGAGTTTTGTTTTAAAAAGAAGTATTTTAGGGAAAGAACAGTAAATATATTGGTCAAACCTAAAGTGCTTATAAGCTAAAATTTGATAAGTTGGGGGAGACCAACTTATGACTTTTGGCTTATTTTTGGCTTATAAACACTTAACTTATAAGCACTTTTAATTTTACCAAACGCATAGATAAGCCAAAAAATACTTATAAGCCAGTTTGACCAGCTTATAAGCTTAGCCAAACACCCTCAAAGTGCAAACCAAGAAGAAAAAAAAAAAGCGAAGAAATGTCCCAAGATAAATACAGTTGGGTATATAGGGAGAGGTAGGTGCCAAAAACAAAAATGACGTAGTAAATGCTGAGGTGTAAAATAGAAGGCTGAGTTGTTCAAAAGAAGAAGCTCATAGCATTTACGGCCTCCCTTATATTGGGTACCCACCTTATCAAAGTGGGCCTCCATCACAGCACCCCTTCCTTAACTCGCTTCTCCGCCTCATAGTCTTTGCGTGTCCTCTGCCCAAAACTTCTCTCTCTCTCTCTCCTCCTCTGTTTTTGCTCCATATCCAAGCAAACACCATATCTCTCTCTTTGTTACAGTCTCTTTTCTATTATTGACAAAAACAGTCAAAGCTTGAAAAATACAAGAAAACAAGTTGCTACAGCTATTTAATTACTAGTAATAGTAATTGGTGATGTCTTTCGTTGGTGTTTTTGTTTCTGATCAATGGCTTCAAAGTCAATTCACTCAAGTCGAACTTCGCAGCCTTAAATCCAAAGTAAGACTCGACTCTTTCATCTCCTTGATGTGTTGTTTTCCGATTGTCCATGTTGATTAATCTGTTGTTAAGAGTTAATGATTTTTACTGTTTTATTTGTTTTTTTGGTCTCGTTAGTTCATTTCAGTTAAGAATCAGAATGGAAAAGTTACAATTGGAGACTTGCCGCCTTTGATGGCGAAATTAAAGGCTTTCAATGAGATGTTTAATGCGGAAGAGATCCGGAATATCTTGGCTGAATCAGGTTCCGACGTCAATGATGAGATTGATTTCGAAAGCTTCCTTAAAGTGAGTATCTAATTAAGTTAATTATATTTATTTCCATTAGTGACATTTGGTTTGTTTACTCTTTTGCCATTGATGGAATGGAAATGAACAAATATTTACTGAGTTTCAGGTCAGGTAATTACACGGAAATTACTTGATAGGCATTATCTGGTAATCTAGTAAAAATGGTACTAACCAACTATCACAAGTTAAATTCACTAATACTGTAAAAAAAAAAAAAAAACTATATAATCAGTGTATATAACTTAAATCCATAGCAAGTTTAAATTGTATAGACTGAATTATTTACACAATCAGGTCACTTATTAGGTAATTATATTTAAATTACTTGATAATCTAGTGTTTTTTGGTAATTAAACTTGCTATCACACGTTAAAATTCACTGCTAGAGCAAAATAATTACTACACTGATCAGTGTATATAACTTAAATATATAGGTAAATCAGTTATCGGGGGTTCTAGGTTCTAGCTGATTACCTAGTAAGTGGAATTTACAGTACTTTGACCTCATTATTCTGGATTTTTGGTTTAGTGACATTTTGTATCATTGCTTGTTATGAACAGACATACTTGAATCTGCAAGCTCGAGCTGCCTCTAAATTAGGCAGTTCTAAAAATTCGTCTTCCTTCCTGAAGGCCTCCACAACTACACTTCTTCACACGATCAGTGAATCAGAGAAAGCATCATATGTAGCTCATATAAACAGCTATCTAAGAGACGATCCATTCTTAAAGCAATTTCTTCCAGTCGATCCAGCTTCGAATGCTTTGTTTGATCTGGCAAAGGATGGAGTTCTTTTATGGTATTTAAACTTAACCTGCTTTGTGATACTCCGAAGTATGTGCAAATTTATGACAAGAGTTTCTGTGGGCTCATTATAGTTTTCTTTCTGTGGTTCATTAGTAAGCTGATCAATGTTGCTGTACCTGGCACAATAGACGAGCGAGCTATTAACATGAAACGAGTAATCAACCCGTGGGAGAGAAATGAGAATCACACCCTTTGCCTCAATTCTGCAAAGGCTATTGGATGCACTGTTGTTAATATTGGCACTCAAGACCTGGTTGAAGGACGAGTGAGTTGAATCTTGCCCTCTTCATTTGCATTACCTCAATATACCTCTGAGTTGTGTGTTCAATTATTTTTCTACATCTTTGCAGCCTCATCTAGTACTTGGGCTGATTTCTCAAATTATCAAGGTTAGTTCCTGATTTCTGTTCCTTTGTGTTCTCTGCCTAGCCTTTGGGGAAAAGGGGCATGATAGTTATGGCAGATTATGTTTGGTTTAATAGCATTGCTCTTCATATCTTTGGGTTGATTTTACTAACTCTTTCTCTGTCTCTCTCTCTCTCTTCTCACCCGGTTCTTGACAATTGTGGCATCTTAGATCCAACTATTGGCAGATCTCAACCTCCGGAAGACCCCTCAGCTCGTCGAACTGGTGGAGGACAGCAATGTAATTTAATCCCTCTTGTCCAACGTGACTGTACTTTTATTTCTATCCATTCGCATGTTTACGAACTATACAAACAAATATCCCATTATTCTTAACTTGTTCAGGATGTTGAGGAGCTCATGGGGTTAGCACCAGAAAAGCTCTTACTAAAATGGATGAATTTTCATCTAAAGAAAGCTGGTTACAAGAAAACAGTAGCAAATTTTTCTTCTGACCTGAAGGTATGCATGTACCATCCTTTTCCCCCCTCTCCTCCCAATATCAACAAGTAAAGAAGTTTTCTGTAAATGTATTCTTGTTTCTACAGAGTAAGATGATACTTCAATTAATTCCATATCACTAGGTGCATGCCAAATTGTAATACTCCATCCTTTGAATTTTGACTGACCTAATTTCCCATTTATGTGTTCTCAGATTACCTGAACCCTGTAAGTAGTGGATTTTTCCTTTTCTAAAATTAGAAATAACATAAAGGTTTAGTACTCATTTCATCTGATTGGTTTGATCAACTTTTAATTCTTCAAATGACAGTTCTGCATCTGAAAAAATTCGAAGTGATTCCGATATGCCTTTGATGTCGGATCTTTGCAACAAATTACCCTATCTCCACACTTACTTCTAATATTAGTTCAAATATATGTAGTAAGCTATGATACGGTTACCATTTAAACTCCTTTTCTCAATTTCCTAGCTTGTCAAATGGATTATCTAATTTGGGAGGAAGAAATATATGTGGAATATATAACTTCGACTTATCAGAAGAAATGTGGAACTTATTTAAATGATGATCATATTTGCTGCTCTATCTTTAATATTGGAGAGGACAGATCCCAAAAGTTCATTTGAGGTCTGGTAGGAAGCATGTCATTGCAGTCAAGACTTCGATTTTGTGTTTATTATGAAAATCCTAGTTGGATTCTGAAATTTTGTATTAAGTTTCTTATAAAGTTAATTGTAGAAATAAAGATGCAAATGCACATTCCAGTGTAGTTCATGGTACAATATAGCAAAACAGTGTAGTGCAATATCTAAGCTACACCTTGACTAGTCTTGACCCGTTTTAATTCAAAGATCTACATTCATAGCTGCATATGGCCTCTTGGCAATTACATATTTACGCTTTCTCTGCAGGACGGGGAGGCCTATGCTTACCTTCTTAATGTACTTGCACCAGAGCATTGCAGCCCAGCGACTTTGGATGTCAAGGATCCCACTGAGAGAGCTAACTTAGTTCTTGAGCATGCAGAGAAAATGGATTGCAAAAGATATCTAGATCCGAAGGACATCGTTGAAGGCTCTTCCAACTTAAATCTTGCTTTTGTTGCACAGATATTCCATCAGAGGTAGGAAGCTAACTTGGCTACATTCTTTTTATCTTTTATGGCTTTTGTTGTTGTGCTCAGCTTGATATAAAGCACATAGTTGACGGCTCAGCCAATTAGGTCTTGCCTTTTCTTATACAGATATTCCACCAGAGGTAGGAACTTAACATGGCTACACTTTTTGTCTTTTGTGGCTCCTTCTGTAGTTGCGCTCACCGCGATACTTGGGGACACAAATCATAGAACCCGAAGAGGATTTAGATCACATTAATCGCAAGGAACAATTTTAACTGCTATATGAGCTGATCATGTATTTTCTGTGCATGTATGGCTTCATTTTCCTCTCCTTTTTGTTGCTTAAATATCTATTTGGAAGTTATTCCTATTTGATGCTCCGTTTAGCTTGATTAGCTAGAAGCATGTACCTACAAAAGTTGCCATCTGCATTTAACCTTTGAATGATGTTTTGAAGCCTCTTGTTGCTATTCTATATTTGAATGAGGCTAATCTTTGCGTTTAGTTGCTTTGAATGTAGTGTTTGGATTTTGTCTTTTAGTTGCTAGATGAGAGGGTAGCTAGTTGTTTTTAATTGAAGAGGAAGGCCCTTTATGAGCAATGCTGTTCTTTTTCAGGAGTGGATTGTCTACTGACAGCAAGAAGGTCTCCTTTGCAGAGATGATGACAGACGACGAGCTAATTTCCAGGGAAGAGAGATGCTTCCGACTATGGATTAATAGTCTCGGGATAAACTCTTACGTCAATAATTTGTTTGAAGATGTCAGAAATGGGTAAGTGATAGGTCTGCATAAACATGGCTCACCCCAGACACCAAAAAAGGACGTGCTAGTAAAAAAGTAGTAATTGGAATTTGTAGGTAGAAAATAGCTCTGCTTCAGCTGCTATTATCTTTGACGCATCAACTTTTCCATCCATTTTCGCAGATGGGTACTTTTGGAAGTATTGGACAAGGTTTCTCCAGGATCTGTTAATTGGAAGCACGCAACAAAACCTCCAATTAAAATGCCATTTCGGAAAGTAGAAAACTGCAACCAAGTTGTCAGGATTGGGAAGCAGTTGAAACTTTCCCTTGTAAATGTGGGTGGAAATGACTTTGTCCAAGGGAATAAGAAGCTTATACTTGGTAATGTTGCAAAACAAAACTTATATGTTTCATAGTGAGGCTTATTTCTCTTCATGGCTCTCTGGGAACCTAAATTGCTTTATAATCTACTTGAGCTTCCAAGATTCTGTCTCATCTGTACTTGTATTATCATATTTATTTGTGCGGAGCTGGAAAGCTGGAATACATTATTTGGTTATCTTCCTGTTATCATTCTTGACTGCATCCGACACCAAAAGTTTCCCGTCCCTACCCTAGTTACTATGTTGTCTGAAGAATGCATTGGTTCCTTTTCAAGGTAGTTGATAAAACTCTATGGACCTGGAAAAACCAATCCTTTCGTGAAATGGCTTTTGCATGATTGCGTAGATTTCTTGCTGATGTGAGGTTGTGGTTGAGGATATTATCTAATAACTCCTGTCAAAAGATAGAAAAGATTATATCTAATAACTCCTGTCAAAAGATAGAAAAGATTAATTTGCTTGCATTATTACTTTATTGTTATCATAAAGTATAGCATCAAGTAACGTTTAGTTCATCATCCTACCGTAATTGATTTTTCTCTATACAGTCTGTATAATGATTTAATTTTAATATGCTGGCAAACTAAGGATGTTAGATTTCAACTATTTGTTACATATAGTCTTTGGTCATATATAGTTGGAAGTGATCAGTTATTATTATGGTGCTAAAAGTGCAGAAATCTTCTAAGACCCTGTAAATGAGTAGTCTGTATAACTGGACTGTCAAAGAAAAAGCATTTTAATCTTAATGGATGAAGAAGTTTAGTTGTATTACTCTTAAAGCTTTTAAATAGTGGTTGCAAATACTGAATCATCATAATTCTTGGTTTAGCAGTCTACATATTATGTGAGCTCCGCTGTGCGAACTTTCTCATCTTGTGTGTGTGTTTCAATGTGATTATGTTGCTCATGCAACTAAATATCTTAGTTTTGGTTCTATGAATTATCTGCTATTACGACATGTACAAGCCTTGTAACTACTGCCTCTTAGCACATGACTTATGTTTCCACTTATACATCCTTTTCCAGCTTTCCTGTGGCAGTTGATGAGGTTTAATATGCTTCAGCTTTTGAAGAACTTGAGATCGCGTTTCCGAGGGAAGGAGATTACTGATGCTGATATTCTAGTTTGGGCAAACAAAAAAGTGAAAAGCACTGGAAGAACATCTAAAATGGAGAGTTTTAAGGTGTAGTATCACCAGTTCCTGTTCAATTGGTGTAATTTCAACCTTGACTATCTGATTCTGACTTACAATTCGTTGATTTTGTTTAGGATAAGAATCTTTCAAGTGGATTATTCTTTCTCGAGCTTCTCAGTGCTGTGGAGCCAAGGGTTGTTAATTGGAATCTTGTTACCAAGGGTGAAAGTGGTATGGAATGGATTCTTGCAATATTTACCTTTCTTTTTCTCTTCTTGGCTTTTGGGAAATGGGCATGGAGCGAGGTCGTCTTTCAATACATTCTTTGTGTAGTTATCTGCCACAGGCTTCACTTCCACTTCCGTGTTAGGAATATGGACTTGCGTTTGCAATAATGAATTCGACTTTCTAGCACGAGCAACTAGCTTCATACACTTAGTGTTAAATAAGGATTGAAGAATTGACTTTCTAGCGGAGCAACTAGCTCCACATGCTTCCTTAGTGTTAAATAAGGATTGGAATTTGGCTTTCTAGCTGAACAACTACCTTCCTTGGCTTTTAATGCTTGTGGTCTTCTTTCTAACAACACCGGAAAGAATACAGCAATTTTCAAAAGGAGTTGTAGCACAAGAGGGTCTCACACATCTTTGGCTCTTTATTCGATCTACTTCTTTTAGAAATTTAATCTGTACTTCTCATCTACTGGGTGCTGTGCTCTGAACTGAACTTTCTATTGTTGCTTCCTAACAGATGAGGCAAAGAAATTGAATGCTACTTATATCATCAGCGTTGCACGGAAACTTGGGTGCTCTATCTTTCTGTTGCCTGAGGATATCATGGAGGTGAGAATGCTATAATGTTGCTTGTTATGTACTTTCTATCATTGCGAATTGCAGCTAGTCATTTGTGTCCATGGGAATCAATTAAAGTAGGCAAACTTCTCTCTTGGGCTGGGGGTGGGGGTGGGGGTGGAGTGGGTTATAAGGGTCTTAACAAAGACCAGACAAATGCAGTACAATCTTTGCAGGGTTGAAAAAATAAAACCATTCCGGGAATTCAAAACATGTTTATAACAGAACAACTCAATTCTATGTCCTTTTAACAATACAGTGAGAAGTATGCACACTATAGCTTTTCCTATGATCTTTCCTGGACAAAGATGTCATCATGAGATCTGATTGTAACACTATCCTTCTTGGGGTCACGTGGTGGACAGGTTAACCAAAAGATGATCCTTACTCTCACTGCCAGCATAATGTACTGGAGCCTTCAGCAGACAGCAGAAGAGGCGGAGTCGGCATCTCCTGCGAGTACTATAACTGATGCATCACCAGTACGATCTACAAATGGTTCAATGTCCCCCTTGATTGCTGCTTCGCCTGATGCATCCCCTGCACCGTCAATTAGTGGAGCATCCTCTCCTGTGGTGGATGCATCTCCAGCACCATCTGTCTATGGAGATGAAGAAAGCCAACTAATCGCTGAAGTGTCAAAGTTGGCAGATGATGATGCGTCGTCTGATGTGTTAGCATCCCCGGAGCAGGCTGAAAATGCAGAGATACCATCAGATGTGCACAGGGATGCTGAAAATGCAGAGATACCAACAGATGTGCACAGGGATGCTGAAAGTGCAGAGATACCAACAGATGTGCACAGGGATGCTGAAAGTGCAGAGATACCAACAGATGTGCACAGGGATGCTGAAAGTGCAGAGATACCAACAGACGTTTGCACGGATGCTGAAAATGTGGAAATACCATCAGATATGCCCTCATCCCCGCAACTTGAGGATACAGAACAACAGAGTGGCCTCTCACATGAAGTTGAAAATGAGGGTACAAAACCAGATAATGAACATTAGTTGGAAGTTGTCTGTTTTACAAGCTCAAGGGACAGAGAATAAGCAAGGGGAGAAAGCAAGACCAACGAAAATAAACAAAGAGAATGTGTTTTTAGATGAATGATAGTAAAGTGCGAAATGTGATTAGATACGAATATAGATTTAAGTACACAATGTTATCAATTCAGGAAGATAGTACACACCTTTGGAGAACAACTGTACTTTTTCCAATTTTGTTTCCTGCTAGTTTTATATAGATATTTCTTTTTGAATGTAAGTAGCGTTTGGTCCATTTGATGTATGGCTTAGATTGTGAAAATTTTCCCAATGATTCATGCTCATGAATACGCAGACGATGTATACTGCTAGTATCCTGAAGTTTGGATAGACTGTTTTTTGAGGTAGCAGGATTTGGGGGTAGAAGGGTTATTCGTGTTTTATATAATCATTGTGCATTTTTTGATGTAAACGCACATTAAAAGTGTATTTTTTGAATGTTGAGGACGTTTTCAATTTTGAGGTTTGGTCAGTTCGCAAGAGTTATGGCCCAGCTTTGGTGCAAGTGTCGTGCTAGATTTATATTACTTGCAGTTGTTTTATTTTCTGGGACACTTTCACTGTTGTTATTTTAAAACATCGCACCCGGCCGTGATTACTAGTTATTGTTATTGCTTGTCATCTAGTTTTTGGTTTTTATAATATTATTTCTATGATTTCTGTTGATGGTACTAATATATTGTTTCTTCTCGCCTTTTCCGTCTGCTTGAGCCGAGGGTCTATTGAAAATAGCCTCTCTGCCCCATCGGGGAGGGGTAAGGTCTGCGTACACATTACCTTCTCCAGACCCCACTTGTGAGATTTTACTGGGTTGTTGTTGTTGTTGTTGTTGTTGTTGTATATTACTGGCAGGGCCGGCTGGAGCCTAGGGCCACTAAGGCAATGGCTTTAGGCCCCCAAAATACTCAGGGACCCAAAATCTATAGAGAATATATAGTTTATAATATTTAATAATTATGCACTAATTAGAATTTTCAAATCATTTGGTTCAAATAGTTATAGCTAAAAGTTTTACAACTCTTAAATTGTAGTTACTAGTTATTTTCTGTCTTTAATTTGTCCCAATTTAAATCGATCTTCTTACAAATATTAGTTTAGAATAATTTTTCTTAATTCTTTGAGTGCCTTTATAGACATTTTTCAAGCTAATTTGATAAGTAACTATTAAAATTGTTCCTTAACAGTGAATGTCTCTTGAAACATAGTAGTTATATTTATAGTATTATCTGTTTCGACTTATATTTAGAATTAGAAGTGTGGCAATATTTTAAACCTTTGTTGACAAATGTCTTGAAGAAGACCATGTGTAAGCCTTCTAGAAGAGATAAATGGCAAGATGCATGCAAGTCTTGGCAAGAGACTTGACAAATGGCAAGAGACTTACAAATGGCAAGGAAAGCCTTAAGTTTTTTTGCCTATAAAAGGGTCTTCCTTTAAGCCAATTTCAATCAACACACATCCTTCTCATACGTCTCTCTCTTCTTCCTTCTAATTCCTTTTCTATAATATTTAATTAATATTACACATTAGTTGTTCTTCCTTTTTTCCTACTAGCTGAATTTGTGTAATATTTAATTTTGCTAATTCTTGTATCCTCTAAATAAAATAGAGGTAAGCTTGTTTAATCCTGGAGAAATATTTCACACTGCTGAAATAGTTTCTTAGGATAGTGCCCAGCACGACTCAAGCCAGTTAGTGTATTTTCGCTCACAAATAATATTATTGCAGTATTATTATTATTATTATTATTATTATTATTATTATTATTATTATTATTATTATTATTATTATTTTCGGTGTCATTTCCCTACAATCTAAGAAACTATGGCAAATAAAACTGATGCTGAAAATACTACTGATACCGCCAATATTGGTGTTACGTCCGCTGCTCCAGCCCCAGTTGCACTGCCATATGCCAGGCCATTTCCAGATGTGTCAAATATTGAAATTTTCGCCAATGAAAATTTCAAGCATTGGCAAGAACGCATTTTCTCACTGCTTGATGTCCATAGTGTTGCACATGCACTGCTGCATCCACAACCTAGTGCAGACGCTGATAATAAAATAATGGAATCATGGCAATATGCCAACAAGGTATGCCGTCATACAATATTGCAAACTGTTTCTAACGAACTGTTTGACGTGTATTGCAGTTATAAAGAAGCAAAAGCTATATGGGAAGCTTTAATTAAAAAATTCACTGTTGAAGATGCTACAAAACAAAAATTTGTAGTAGGAAAATTTTATCAGTGGCAGATGAGAGATGATAAAGAGATGAACATACAAATCAACGAATTTCAAAAATTGTTAGAAGATTTGAAGGTCGAGGGGATGTCTTTACCAGAAAAGTTTGCTGCTGGAGTGCTAATTGAGAAGCTGTCTGACTCATGGAGTGACTACAAAAACAACTTAAAGCACAAACAGAAAAATTTCACCATTGAGGATATTGTGACCCACATCCTAATTGAAGATTCCAACAGAAAAGAATCTGCCAAATCTAGGATGACAGCTCTCAAAGCAAACTTAGTGCAAAGCAGCAACAACAACCACAAAAGGTACGAGAATAAGTCTCAAGGTTGCAAGCCTAAAATTCCTAATCTTAAAAGAAAAAAGAGCTCTTGTTTTGTTTGTGGAAAACCAGGCCATCATGCCTCACAGTGCAAGTACAGAGCAAGAAATGACAAAGAAAAAACTAATACTCCTAAGGCTAACTTAGCTGAAGGAGGTGATATTATTGCAGCTGTCATTTCTAAAGTAAACATTGTAGCACATGCAAAAGAATGGGTAATAGACTCTGGGGCTACTCGACACATTTGTGCAAATCGAGAAGCATTTTCCTCTTATACTCCTGTAGAGGATGATAGAGAAGAAGTCTACCTTGGAGACTCAAGTACTACCAAAGTCTTGGGTAAGGGTAAAGTTCTCCTGAAACTCACTTCGGGGAAAACTTTAGCCCTTGTTGATGTACTACATGTTCCTACTATGAGGGCAAACTTGATCTCTGTATCCTTGTTGGGAAGAGCCAGAGTGAAAGTGTCATTTGAATCTGATAAGAGAATAATGACCAAAAATAATGTGTTTGTGGGAAAGGGCTATTGTAACCAAGGGCTCTTTGTACTTAATATTTCTAATGTTATCAATGGAAATGTATCTACTTCTGCTTATATGGTTGAGTCTATTTCTCTATGGCATGCTAGACTAGGACATGTTAATGTCACATATATAAAGAAAATGCAGTCACTAGGATTAATATCTGGTTTAGACTCAAATAATATTAACAAGTGTAAAATCTGTGCTGAAGCTAAAAGTACTAGAAAGACCTGTTTTTCCATAAATAGAGAAACTGAATTGTTATCTTTAATTCACACTGATTTAGGCGACTTGAAGCAGACTATGACTAGAGGTGGTAAAAGATATTATGTGACTTTTATTGATGATTTTTCTAGATATACTAAGTTGTATTTGCTTAGAAATAAAGATGATGCATTTAATGCTTTTATTTCCTATAAACTGAGGTTGAAAATCAACTTAGTAGGAAAATCAAGAGATTTAGATCAGATAGAGCTGGAGAATATTTATCTTTAAATAAATTTTGTGAAAATAATGGAATTATTCATGAAGTAACTCCGCCTTATTCACCTGAGTCAAATGGAGTGGCTGAAAGGAAAAATAGAACATTGAAAGAGATGATGAACTCTATGTTAGTTAGTTCTAATGCTCCTGATAATTTGTGGGGTGAAGCTATTTTATCTGCATGTCACTTACAAAATAGAATACCACATAGAAGAACTGGCAAAACTCCGTATGAATTGTGGAGGGACTTTAAACCTAACTTGAAATATTTAAAAGTGTGGGGGTACCTTACTAAAGTTCTTTTGCCTGAACCTAAAAAGAGAAAAATAGGTTCTAAAACTGCTGATTGCATGCTTATTGGATATGCTGAACATAGTGCTGCATATAGATTTTTTGTTTTAAAAAGTGATGTGCTTGATTGCAATACTATAATTGAGACAAAGAATGCAGAATTCTTTGAACATATTTTTCCACTATCTGATAAAAATTCTCATACACCTGTTGAAATAAATAGTGAAATTACCTCTAATGAGGAATTAAGAAGGAGTAAAAGGCCTAGGAAAGAATATTTTTCATATGGAAATGATTTTCAAACATTTCTTGCCGATAATGAACCATCAAATTATTTTGAAGCTATATCTTTTCCAGATGCTAAATATTGGAAAGAGGCAATAAAAGTTGAAATTGATTCTATTAAGAAAAATAATACATGCATTTTAACTGACTTACCTCCTGGTGCAAAACCTATTAGTTGTAAATGGATCTTTAAAAAGAAATTTAATCCTGATGGGTCTTTAGATAAATATAAAGCTCGGTTAGTAGCAAAAGGATTTTTTCAAAAATAAAATATAGATTATTTTGATACATTTGCACCAGTGACTAGAATTTTTTCTATTCGAATTTTAATTGCCTTAGCTTCAATCCGTAAGCTTTTTATCCACCAAATGGATGTGAAAACTGCTTTTCTAAATGGTGATTTAGAAGAAGAGATTTATATGGTTCAAGAAGGCTATGTTATTCCTGGACAAGAAAATAAAGTTTGTAAATTAATTAAATCTCTTTATGGCCTTAAACAAGATCCTAAACAGTGGTATGAGAAATTTGAATAAGTCTTACTCAGAGACGGTTTTTCTTCAGTTGAGGTGGATAAATGTGTTTATACTAAAGTTATAGACAATGATTATGTGATAATATGTCTATATGTTGATGACATGCTTATATTTGATACAAATTTAAATATTGTGCAAAGTACAAAATTATTTCTGTCAGCTAATTTTGATATGAAAGATCCGGGTGAAGTAAATACAATATTGGGAGTTAAAGTTATAAGGAGTGAAGATGGAATAATGTTGTCACAAGAACATTATATTGAGAGACTTCTTAAGAAGTTTGAATATTTTAATGTCACATTTGTGAGCACTCCTTTTGATGCTAACTCTAAGTTGAAAAAGAATAATGGTGACACCAGTTGCTCAGTCTAAATATGCTCAGATTATTGGGAGTCTGATGCATGTAATGAATTTTACAAGGCCTAATATAGCCAATGCAGTGTGTAGACTGAGTAGATATACTCATAATCTCAACAGAGAGCATTGGTCTGCATTAGCTAGACTAATGAAATGTTTGAGAGGAACCATGAATTGTGGTATCCTATATAGTGGATTTCCTTCTACTTTAGAAGGGTACAGTGATGCAAATTGGATCTCTGATTCAGATGAGACAAAATCCACTAGTGGATATGTATTCACCCTTGGTGGTGGTGCAATATCGTGGAAATCAGCTAAACAGACGATCATCGCTAGATCGACTATGGAATCAGAGTTTGTAGCTCTGGAGTTAGCTGGTTCTGAGGCTGAATGGCTAAGAAACTTCTTAGCTAATATCCCGTTAATA